TCAGAATCTATTCAAAAGCAAATTTTACTGGTGTGCAAACCCAGTTGGTCTGCAAATAACACAGCACTTGATCTTCTGGGTCACCAGCTGCAATTCAGTGAGAACTAAACAGGTGTACTTTCATTTTTCTGGGTCAAGATCAAGTTTACAAATTTTGATTTTGAAAATGAGCATTTCTCTAGTTTGGGCAAGAGTAACCATAGGGATAAATAATTACTTATAATCAGTAACACATAGAAACTTCAATCCCTCTTCTAAAGCCAGTTAGGTCTGCAAAAATCAGCAAACAACCAGCAAATGGAAACAGGTCTAGAACAACACTGCTCAAAAATGTTTAGGAGATTTACTTTGGAGATCAGAAAGCAGCTGCAATGGAATCTTCTTGGGTCCTTTTTCTTTATCTTTCTCTTTTTTCCTTTTAGCCATCTGAGTTCCCTAAATGCAAATTCTATCTAACCTCATTTTTGTAGAACAGTGATATTCTTTAAGATACCCATGGATTATAATATCCTCAGTCAGTTACATTTCAATAAATGACAAGTTTGTAATTGAAAGCATTCCCTCTAAAATCATGTAAAAGACAAAGATTCCCACTATTTATATTCAATCTAGTACTTGAAATATTAGCCAGAGCAATCAGGTAAGAGAAAGAAAAAAAGGGATCCATAAAGAAAAGGAAGATATCAAATTACTAGTATTTGCAGATGATATGATACGCTGCTTAGAAGACCCAAACAATTCCATTAGAAATAATAACAAATTTCAGCACTGTAGCAGGATACAAAATCAATACACAAAAATCAATAGATTCGTGTATACCACTAATGAATTCAAAGAGAAAGAAATTAGGAACACAATACTACTTGCGATATCATCAAGAAAAAGAAAATACCTAGGAATTAACCTAACCAAGGAAGCTAAAGATCCCTACAACAAAAACTGCTGTGCTCTGAAAAGGGAGATTAACAAGGACATCAGAAAATAGAAAAATGTCCTCTGCTCCTAGATAGGCAGAACCAATATTGTCAAAATGGCACACACTCCCAAAATTGATATATAGATTGAATGCAATACTGATCAAAATACTAGCAGCTTTCTTCACAGAACTAGAGCAAACAATCCTAAAGTATATATGGAACCAGAGGAGACCAAAAATAACAAAAGTAATCTTGGGCAATAAGAGTAAAGCAGGAGGCATCACAATACCTGACTTCAAGCTATACTACACAGTAACAGTGATAAAAACAGTGTGGTACTGTCACAAAAACAAATATTTGGGTCAATGGAACAGAAGACAAACAGTCACAGACACATCTGGCTCTGTGGTATTTGACAAAAGGGCCAAGAACATGCATTAGAGGAAAGATAGACTTATCCACAAATGGTGCTGGGAAAACTGGCTATTGGCAGAAGACTGAAGCCACACCTATATCTCCCTCCATGTGGTAAACGAAAATCAAAATGGTTTAAAGATCTAAATGTTAAAGCAGAAACACTAAACCTACTAGAAGATAAAATAGGTAAAACACTTAAATTTGTAGGTGTAAGCAAGGACTTTCTGAATAAAAGTAGTTATACAAGCAATAACATCAAGAATCTAAAAATGCAATTCTATCAAATTAAAAAGCTTCTGCACAGCAAAGGAAACACCCAATAGAGTGAAGAATAGGAAAGGAGACTGAATGGGAAAACATTTTCCTGCTACTCCTTGGAGGACTAACATCCAGAATATATAAAGAACTAAAAAAAAAAAAAATTAACCCCCCCCAAATAAAAGACCTAATCAAGAAATGGACTAGTGAAACAGACATTTCTCAAAAGTACAAATGGCTGAGGAAAACATGAAAAAAGGCTCAACATCTCTAGCCAGTAGAGAACTGCAAATTAAAACAATGCTCAGTTTTTGTCTTACACCAGACAAAATGATAGTCATCAAGAAGTGAAAGAATAATAAATATTGGTGCGGCTGCAGTGAAAAAGAAACACTCTTACATTACTAGTGGGAATGTAAACTAGTATAACCTTTCAGTATGGGGATTTCTTAAAGTATTGAAATTAGAAATTCCATTTGAAAGAGCTACTCTCCTTCTACATAATCTTCCTGACAGAGCTAAGACATCCTATGACAGTGATATATGCATGCCAACGTTTATAGTAGCACAGCCCCTTAAAGCTAACCCACAGAAGCAGCACGTATACCCATCAACAGACAAATGGATTTTTTGAAATGTGGTATCTGTGCATCATAGACCACTACTCAGCTGTAAAGAAAGATAAATTCACATTTGTAGGAGAATGGATGCACCTAGAAAACATGATGTTAAGTGAAATAAGTCAGACACACAACTTAAATACCATGTGGTGTTTCTCGTTTAAGTAAGGCAAAGTACAAACAAAGAGAAATATAAAGGATGAACAGAAGGAAACAAGGAGGGCTTTCACCTCTGGAGCCCCTTACCACCTCACGGTAGTAGTCTATCTTCTTTCTTTTCCATCTTTTCCTCCCCAAATAAACCATCTTCTATTACCAGAAAAAAAAAAAAAAAAAAAAAAGATGGGCCAGGGATGTAGCTCAGTGGCACAGTACCTGCCTGGTAAGGGTGAGACTCTGAGTTCAATCCTCAGAACCAATAAATAAATAAGGAAACAAGGAGGTCTTTTGCAAATGGGAATGACTTCGGGTGAATGAGGGCACAGGGGGCAGAAGGGAAAGGGAAAGATTTATGGTGTGTCGTGCATAGGTACCGAATACCTACAATGAAAGTAAACATTATGTGACATGATTAAGAATAATAACGATAAGAATGAAAATGGATAAAGGAGAGTCATGGAGGGAGGGAGCTTAACAAAGGGGAAGGAGATTAACAAAGAATTAAACTATATTATGTCCATATACCATCTCCCAAAGGCAAATGTATACTACGTACTGCAAACATGAAACAAGGAAAGAAAAAAAATACATTGGGTGGGTCTTTCAGACATGTGCCCATGAGGACCCAAAGATGGTGGGTTTGGGGAGGCTACAACAGAGACAGATGCTGTGTGTGAGATAAAGAGGCGGTGCCTGAAAGAGTGCTGCCCGGAAACCAACAAGCAGGGGCAGGTCTAATAATAGTTTATCCTCCACTAATCCTGTAATTTGCTCCCTAATACTATAGCTCATCCTGCAGAGGCTGGGGCTGTAGCAGGTGGCCTGAACTCCCAGCTTCAGCTGTGGATGGGTCTCTGTTTCAAAGATACTGACATAGCCTCGGGCACTTTGCCTGCGTCTTACTGGTTTACTTACGCATGCCAATATCTTCCTCTATTTGTGGATTTCACATGACATTTGGAACTGATCGTTTTTGCCCATGACCACCCTCTCCCCACAATCAAAGTTAGTCAGGTGCAGTAACTCCAGCCTGTAAGTCCAGCTGCTGGGGAGGCTGAGGCAGCAGTATTGAAAATTCAAGGCCAACCCGTGCGACTCAGTGAGATCCTGACTCAAAAAGAAAAGAAATATAAAATAAACAAAAGGGTTTATTGTAGCTCACTGTACTTTTCTAGCATGCATGCCCCAGTACAGAAAAAAAAAAAAGAAAAAATCAGAGTTAAAAAATTGTAACCAATTACAAGTTAATCCATTTTAAAGCAGAGATATTCTACTACATTCATCCTCATAAATCCTTTTTAAAATTGCTAAGATCTGTAATATTGCTCCAAGGTTTATAAAATTTTCAGGGAGTGTAAGTTTTAAAAACTCAGTAGTAGACTCTTCTCTGTCTTGGTAGTTTTTGTTCTTTATAATTTTTCACAATGTGAGAAAGGACAATATATATATAATCTTTACTTTCTGAACATTGAGCTCAAGTTACAACCAATGAGAACACTTTAGTTTTATCAGTCACCTGCACAATATCTGTAAAAGTGATTACAAGTAAGAAAAAGAAAGTTAACTGTTTAAGCCAGAAAGAATGTATCAGTTTACTTCTAAAAAATCCCAAAGAGCTTCTCAAGAGTTGGTTATCTCATGAATTCTGTGTGGCCATCAGAGATTCCAATTCTTTCCATATTTTTGGTTCATCCCCCTGGGCTCCTCAGCTTGCATTCAAGCTGACTCTGTCATGATTGCAACACAGGTGTATGTATTCAGGACATAGCTAGACATATCAGTGGAGAGAGGGCTTTCTCTAGGATGTTCCGTTTTTATTAGTGAAGGAACTTTCCTAGAATTGGCCAAAGTTATATCACATTACCACGTGCAGGCCAGCCACAAGCACGATCAATAGAATCACTGTGCTGGCCAGTGTTACTTTCTAGCACAAGATCTGATGACAATGTCACCTGAAGTGTATAGCAATGTGGAAGAGGGGGACATTTAGCTAACAACAGGACTGAAGGATTGGACAAGCCCACAGCGAGTGCAAATACAAAAGCAGAGGTGCCAGCACTGTGATCATGGTTTGCATCTGATCTTCATTAACAAGTGTTTCCTGGAGGTAGTCTATGGGTCATGCATTATTTTAAGTAGCAGGAGGACACCACAGTAAGAAAAATTAGATTGTGGATCTGTGCTCATGGACCTCAATCTACTGAGTATTTTTTTTCCCCTGTACTGAGGATTGAACTTCACATATGCTGGGCAAGCATTCTACCCCTGAGCTACACTCCTGTTATTTTTTGTTTTGTATGTTGAGACAAGGTCTCCCTAAGTTGCATTGAATTTCCAATTCTCCTGCCTCAGCCTCCCATGTAGCTGAGATTATAGGAATGCTCCACTACACCTGGCCCCTACTGGGCTTTTCTTAATTGTCCACATTTTACATTGTCATGAAGCTATAATGGACCTTAGAAAGCAAATATTTCAATGCTCTTACTGTAGAGTTGAACAGCAGTCTGGAGTGTCTAAGTTATTTGCTGTACCAAGTTTATAAGTTTTTTATTTCCTACTATTTGTATTTTTGTGTCAATGATTAACCTGAGTAGAAAAGATCTTTACGTGTAAAAACAGAAGTTGTCCCGCGCTGCCTTTGGGCCCCCGCTGCGCATGTCCGTGGTGTCGGTGGGTCAAGCTGCAGCACCAGAGAACTTGTTCTTTTAACCACGAGCAACACGGCTGAGGCCCGGACTAGCACATTTTTACAAGGCTAAAACGGATACAGCAGGCTCCGCTAGTGAAGTCCGGAGCTGCCATTTGGTGAGATTCGGCGTGGAACGGCAGGCCGGGGAGGTGAGACCACAATTGGATTTGACAAGAACTGGCTCGGGGCTGCAGCCGTATGGGTTTAACATCTTGTTAAGACATAGTCCCAATCTACTGGCAAAACTACAGATGAATTTTAAATTAAAAAACCGTGACAAGCACGGACTCAAAACAATTGGGGAAACTGTCCAGTTAGCCTAACCTCACAGATACAGGACGCTTGTGAAGATGGAGATTTTTTTTGCGCACTTTCATTCAGGTCTTAACACTCGGGCTTATGCCAGTGTTTACCCGTGTTGAGTAGCAAAGGTGTGCAAGGGAGGGAGGCCGATTTTGGGTGCTTGGGTATTAATCTCCCAGGTTAACAGTTGTGCAAACAAGGGTGTGGGTTCGAGCTCAGTAGCACAACCATCCCAGTTAACTAAATTCTGAAATCTGAGCTCAGTTCTCTTTAAGTGCAGGCTGAGGGAAATGGCACCTACCACGAGGTAGTGAGTGTACTGTGCATCCTGAAGTTAATGGGAGGCCATTCTTAGCTTTAGAGAAATGTGAGTCAACCTACTGACCTATTCCCCTGTAACCTTTCCAAAAAGCAACATGATGCTAACCTATTGTTTTCAGGTTTTTGTTTTGTTTTGTTTTGGTACTGGGTTTCAAACTCAGGACCTTGCACTTGAGTGGCAGGCGGCTGAATCACTGAGCTAAATCCCTGGCCCCTCATTTTTTTATTTTTATCTTTTCTAGTGGGTGTGAGACTGGGTCTCACCATGTTGTTCAGGTTGGCCTTGATCTCCAAGTGATCCTCCTGCCTTGGCCCTGGAGAGTGCTGGGATCACGGGTGTGCACCACAACACCCAGCCTCCGTATTGTTTTCTTGTTCTAACTGTTCTATTTGCTGGTGGGTAGGTACTCAATTGTAGAGTGGCCAAATACAAACCAAGTGGATGTTTAAAAAAAAAAATAGAAGTTGTCATGTGCTAACCTAAACTAAGATTAGCAAAGCAAATCACTTCAGATAGACCAATTTGTTGAGTGAAATGAATCATCGCAAGATTTATTTAGATGGTATCTATATACCATTAAGTAACATTTATGAACAGTGGGATCTCATCTTACTAAAAAGCTTCTGCACTGCAAAAGAAACCATCAACAGGAATAAGAGACAACCTACCATGTGGGAAAAAATTTTTACCAGCTGCTCCTCAGACAAAGCACTATTATCTAGAATATATAAAAAACTCAAAACAATCAGCCCAACCCCATCTTTCTGTCCTCTGTTTTTGTTTTACCAGCTGCTCCTCAGACAAAGCACTATTATCTAGAATATATAAAGAATTCAAAACAATCAGTCCAACCCCATCTTTCTGTCCTCTATTTTTGCACAGCACCAGTCAGTTCCTGTGGGTGGTAGACAATAGGACCTCCCCCTGCATTCCAGTGGGTCATTCGGAATTTTCATAGTCCTCTAAGGAGTGGATCCACTATCTCCCTCAGCACATTTGTGCCCAAGACAATCTCATAACTACACATTGTGTCCACATATATCTCCCAGGATCCCTATTAACAAGTGATTTTTGAAAAGTTCCAGAATCTCTCGGCACTTTGGTGCAGTCTAGACACGAAAACTGGATCGGAAGTCATCAAAGGCTTCCCTGTGTTCATGCCACATTTTAGGTCTGATTAACCCTTTGTGATTTTATTCTACAATGCACCAGTCAGTTCCTGTGGGTGGTAGACAATAGGACCTCCCCCTGCATTCCAGTGGGTCATTCAGAACTTTCATAGTCCTCTAAAGAGTGGGTCCACTCTCTTCCTCAGCACATTTGTGCCCAAGAAAATCTCATAACTACACATTGTGTCCACATATATCTCCTAGGATCCCTATTAACAAGTGATTTTTGAAAAGTTCCAGAATCTCTGCACTTTGGTGCAGTCTAGACACGAAAACTGGATCGGAAGTCATCAAAGGCTTCCCTGAGTTCATGCCACATTTTAGGTCTGATTTACCCTTTGTGATTTTATTCTACATACCATCACTGAGGTGCACAAAGGCAAATATGCAAGTATAACTGTTGTAGCATTATTGCCAAAGGCACGAAACAGAAACAATATTAATGTTTCCTAATCATGACACACATTTGAACATCAAATGCTCAACAGAGGGAAAAAACCAATTCTCCAAACTAATATGGAAAGACGGCCAGAAACGATGGCTCAGATGATACTCTGAACAGAAATATGTCAGGACAGAACAATAACTGCCGCATGGGGTCTGTATGTAAATAAAAAGCAACAGAAGGAGTGTGCTTTGACACGTGATTGAATTTGCAAAGAACGTCCCCAGGTGGGAGTTCATGAACTAGGGCCATGTACTCTGCTCCCATCCATCATGAACTAAGCATCTGTGTTCTACCACGGAGATTCCTGCCATGAGGTTCCTGCCTTGCAGCGTGATGACCATGGACTGAATCTGCTGCAACTGTGAGCCATGTTAAACTTCTCCTGCTTTAAGCTATGGATGTCGAGTACTGTGTCTTAGTGATGGGAAAGCTGACTAATACAATAGCGATATCTTATATACTTATAAATAAACAATCATGTAGGTCCCTCTGTCAACTCTAGTTTTGGGTTAAAGTTAAAAACTATATTGCTAACTGTGTAAAATGTGTATTTGTATTTTATTTTTAAATGACAAATAATAAGTATATATTTATAGGATACAATTTGTGGTTTTATATAAGTATGAATTGGAGAAGTATAAAATCTGGGAAATTAGCATATTCATCATCCCAAAAATATTTGTCATTTCTTTATGGTGTGAACATTTTAAATCCTCTCATTTAACTGATTTGGAATATACAATATCCTACTATAATCACCTTGCTTTCCAGTAGAGCACCAGGACCGACTTCTCCGACATAACAGCAACTTTCTAACCATTCACCAACATCTCTCCTTTCTCCATCCACCCCACCACCATTTTATTAATTGTTGAACAAAACTCAACAGAAGAATAAATTCAAAAGATGAATAATATAATTTCATAAAAAGCCTATTAAATTTAAGTTTCAATACCTGTAAATAAAGCTTTCTTGGAACACAAATACACTCTTATATTTTCTGGCTGTCTCCATGCCACTAAGGCAGAGCTGAATAGTTGTGTAGAGATTTAATGGTCCACAGAGGGTGAAGTATTTGTCACATGGTCCTCTAAAGAACAAGTTTGCTGACTACTGCTCAAGAAGAATGTACAGCAACTAATGACCCTAGTTTCCTTAGGGAAATGTACTCGAACATAAAGACAAGGGCAGCAAGAAGACGTATGTTTTACTGTCTGCCGGTTGGTACAGTTTTTTGAATTTTGTAGAATGAGGAAGCATTACCTAATTTAAAACCATGAATAATTAATATATTTTAAATCATTTTTCTCAAATGCTTTAATTAACAATGCACTAAAACTCTGCTCAAGATAAAAACACTGTGTCCCATCTTGTCAGTACCACATCTTCCTACACTGGTCCTTGAAGTGTCAGGAGATCACGGAGCTATGCTAGCATTGCCCTGTATTATTTTACTGCTAAGTTTAAAACAGTCTGTTCTATGGTTAAAAACAAAACAGAGGACACTGACTGTTCTTCCTTCTGAAGGAATAATAAAACACATGCCTGTTTTTGTGTCTCATGCAGCATCGCAGTACTTCATGATCATTTTCTCTGCAGTTACCCTGAAAAAAATGAAAATCTTCCCTGTGTTTCCTGGCTCAGGGGCACAGGCACAGAGGGGAACCCCACACTGCCTGTGCTGGGGGGAGGCCTGTGAGAAACCAGAGAAGAACAGTCACATAGCTCTGACCCCCGACTGTGTCTGGAAGTTAAGAAATTCCAGGAGGTTCCTGAACTTCAGAAAATGCTGTCTTTAAAAAGGGTGATATATTGTTGTATTTCAAGTATACCTTTAGAATATTCTAAAAGGATGACTTGAATTTGAATCAGAACTGCTAGGAATGAAGTTCCCTGAAGATTCTCCAAGGTTAAGAATCATTACTGTAAGGGAGGACTTAAAAATCAATATTAGCATAACTCAAATATTATGATGGGGGAATACAAGAGCTACAAGTCATGATCACAACCAAGTATTTTAAAATAGCCTTAATAAGAAACATGTGGCCTTATACAAAGAAAATGATGAAATTGAAAGTCTTAATAATAAAGCAGTACCTTTCACGACTATTTGAAGGATGCCAATTCGTCTCTTCCTTTACCTTCCTTAAAAAACACAGAATATTTCAAGGTTGATAAAATGAATTATTTTGTGTGGTTGCATTGGGGATTGAACTCAGGGTCTTTACCCAGGGCCACATCCCAAGCCATACACACACACACACACACACACACACACACACGTGTGTGTGTGTGTGTGTGTGTGTGTGTGTGTGTGTGGGTGTGTATATATATATTTTTTTTTTTTT